ACCGCCTCAAATTGTGAACAAAGTTCGTCTTGTCGCTTATACCGGCCTCAAGTTGTGAACAAGAGAAGGTAAATTGGAGTCTCACCCAATTAGCCACGAAGAATGAATAACGTTAACTCTGTGTTCTACGCTGAAGCTTATCATCCGATCCAAGCAGGAAGCATTGATGGAACCGACACTCTGCCTCATGATAACGCCGTTTACAGGGCTCTTCTTTGTTCGAATGCTGGCCTCTGTAATTTTCTCCCAATTGTATTACACCATTTATGGACAAATTCTTCTGTCCCAATGTTTTCATTGTTCCTTCTTGTTTTCATTTGCAGACGACCCCTTTGGCGACCCGAAAGTTATTGGTGACCCTTATTGCACTCTCTTTGTGGGCCGTCTCTCTCACCTCACCACTGAAGACACTCTCCGCCAGGTAACCTTTTTTGTAATTTATCCAGTTGAAATGAAATTGTTGGTTCTTTAAAGTTTTTTTAATCATTTTGTTTCTCTTTGACTGTTTATTTGTTCAATTTAGGATCAATTTATTGCTTTTGTTTGTTTTCTCAGGCAATGAGCAGATATGGAAGGGTCAAGAACTTGCGGCTGGTCAGACATATAGGTGATTTCTTTTTATTTTTATTTTACTTCGAGTGTTTTTAACTGAATAGAGCCCACAAGTTGTTTGGTTGATTTCCTTAGAGGGAATCCCAGAAGCTACAATGCTTACTACTTTAATCTTTGTTGGCTCGAGATGAATGTTGCCTAGTACTAACATATGTTTCTTCCCTACTAATCAGGAAAAAAATTAGGAAATCAAAATCTTCTCTGCCTTCGAAATGAAATTCTTGCCCTGGCCGCCGTCATAAACTACGAAAAAAATTCTCAATGACTGGACTAATGGTTTGGGTTTTGTTAACTAATGGATAAGCTTGTATTAAGGTTGTATCATAGAGGCAATAATATATGAACTCTAATGATAATTACGTTTCGTGTTTTATTTTTGAATATTCACAAGCTTTTACGAGTCTAAAGTTATAGGAGATATTTCTATGACTAACAAGAATTTTTAGGGAAGGGATTGGTTGATGGAGAGACATTTTCTAAAAACTCGAATGAAGGTATTAGTAGTTCTCTCAAAGATAATTCTCTTGCTAAAAATTCTTGGAACATTTTGCTTCAATGTTCATTGACTGCTGATGAGGAATTTGTCTGATTGAAATGAGAAACTTCAAAAACTGTAATAGAGTATTGCTATTCTGATTCAGAGAGACCGAAAAATCTACTTCTTATACTTGTCTAATATTTTGAAGCACATAATTGGGCAACCATTTGTTTTGTACTTTTTAGCTACAAGCCTACAACTGCTAGAGGGAAGGAATGTCCAAGTCCTAGAGGGATCAACTCTGAATAAAAATGTATTGAAGTGAATTGTTGCTTGATTATTCTCTTCAGTAGTAAGAGTTTCTTCAGTTTTTTGTGCATTAAATTCTCAGCATGTAAATTCGGTGTGCTCTCTTAATATAAACAAAACCTGGCTGTGATGCATGGTACTCTAATGTGATTGTATTGTCAAGATATGATTTTTACCAAGATTTCTAGATTAAGTTTTGGTTTTATACATCAGCCTGTGCATTATAAAATTTTACATTACTGGGTTTTTAGGCTTGACCAATATATTAGAGGATAACTTTATTCTTTGGGAAGAAGGAAAAAGCACAAATTGAAAAGACAAAGGAAAAGGAAAAAAGAAATAAAGTTGAAGTAAGAAGCAAAGAGGACACATCAATAACCTGTTTTCTTCACAAGATTTGTTCCCATTTTATACTAATTGATGGGAAACAATTTTTTTTTCCTCACCAAAAAACCTTAACATGGAATCTATGCAGTAACGGGTGCCTCACGTGGCTATGGCTTTGTCGAATTTGAAACAGAGAGGGAGATGCATCGAGCATACAAGGTGATTTATTGTATAAATATAAACAGCTAGATCGACTTTCTATTTTGCTTCTTATCAACTTTTTCTGCTTCTCTTCAGAATAGTGATTTGCTCCCCTATTTTTATTTATTTATTTTTTAATTGTGCCAATCTGTCCTACATACATTGTCTTGAGTTATTAGCCTTTATTCTGAATTATGTATGCATTTGCCATATTATTTGAAGAATCTATAGTCCAACAATCGGCTATATTCAGTTTCATCTGAGAACTAATTTACTTGAATAGTTTGTTCTCGCGTTTGTTGAAATGTACCATTTCTAATTTTTTAGACTGTTTATGATTGCTTATATTGAAAGGCCATGAACCTTTAGCTTTTGTAAGCTTTAAATAGGTAATCCAGCTTTGCCTCCCTTCACAAAAGATATTTTTTGTTGCCAAGATCAAGGAACAACTAAATTAACTGAACTGCAGATCAACTATGCAAGAAAGGCTAGTTGGATGTATTCACATGGCAATTAGAAGCCCCTGTTTGGTACCAATTAAAATTTAGATTTTAATCTAAGTCAAAGTCAACAATTCATTTCAATTACATATTTTATGAGCCCCACAACTTTTTAATCACATATTTCATCAACTTCTATCAAAATCTACTAAAAATCTGATTTTAATCCACATCAAATAGGGTCTTAATATTTAATCAATGTTATGAAGGTTGTGATGTAACTTTTCTTGGAATTGTTCGGAGCTTTAATATTGCTATTTTAAATTGTCACTTGCCACCTAAATTAAAGGATAAAAATGCTATATATATTTTACAGATATGTTAGAAATAGAGAAATAGATTGGGGAGTAGCAAGGAAGAATTGTTTATCAAAGTTTAGAGATTGAAAACAATGGTGTTCGGAATTATAGTTGATGAAAATTGAAATAATATGCATGTGAGCTGGTTGGGTGAATGGATTAATGAAGTTCTCAACAAATTTCTAGAGCACCTTTTCTTCCGCTGTCTCATATTTCAATAAATTTCAACGAGGCAACACATCTGCTATAACTATGTTGAAAGACCTTTACTCTCATAATCTTCATCGAAAATTGGGGCATAGCCGTTCGAACTTATTGACCATCAGTTTTATAAGCATTTTTCTTTGATTCTGATGAGAATAGTTTTAAATTTTAAATCAGATTTCTTGACCTTCAATACTGGTCGTATGTTGCCTCAGATTCCAGCTCAAGTCTCATGATCTTCTCCTGCCTTTTAATTTTCCCAGAATCCCATTTATAAACCTTTTAACTCTCCAATCTCCTCATTTATTCCATTTGCTTTAGTTTAGGCCTTCCTTCTCGAGTTTCTTTTTTTCTTGGCTGGTAATTCCTGTCGCGTGTTCTGTGTTGAAATAATTTCCCGAATTTGCTTTAGATGCCAAATGTTAATGAAATAACATCAATACAGGCTTTCTGGTCTTCTGGCATGAGCCTTTAGAAGCTATCCACCTACAGCTTTTAAATTACCGGTTTACTTGTCGAAAGTTCATAAATTTTTACGCCTTACATTTTGTTCAATGATTTCTAGCGATTACTGAAAGTAAAACTAAAATATATGGACTTGATTGTGAAAGTGATTTCATCATATGTTATTTTTCTTAAGAGTCATGTCAGCAAGAACCTGTTTCCATTTTATCTGCCCTGGAGACTTAATTGATGCTCATTGTGTTAATACACATTTGTAGGATGCTCATCATACCATCATTGATGATTCTGAGATTATAGTTGATTACAATAGGCAGCAACTGATGCCAGGTTGGATCCCGAGAAGGCTAGGTATATCAAACTTCTGCTGCTCATACAGCTATATTTTATACTCTTATTAGCTTTAAAGTCATTGTCTTTGACAGGAGGTGGTCTTGGCGGCAAGAAAGAATCAGGACAACTTCGGTTCGGAGGACGAGAAAGGCCATTTCGAGCTCCACTGTATGTTCACCTTTACTTGTTCAGTTTTTAATTTTTATATTAGTTAGTATTCGGTTTAATAGTCGTGATGTAGATTTTGTACTTCTACTTTCCAAGGGAAAGGAAAATTTTTAGCAGCTATTTCACTAGTCTTTTAAATGCCTTGGGGTACTGTTGTTTCGCATCAGATGTGTCGGGTTCTAGCCTCCAACAAAAGCAGTCTGTGCGAAACAAAATGACAGGCCCCCAACGCTTGAAAGATGGGTGAATTAGAATATAACTCCCTGTGTTAACACCAAGAAGCAATCTATGTTAAAGACTCGACCAAGATGCATTCTGAACTTCCATAAATTATTTGTTACGAGATCAG